CATATTGAATTAGCGCAAAGCTCGACAACGAACTAGCTAGCACTCAGAGCTTACCAATTTCGCTAAACATGACGTCACATAGCTCTAAAGTAAACGCCAATGAGTGTGGCACTCGGACGAAAGTATACAGGCTGAGCGTGCTGATAGTAAAATTAGCTCAGAAGTAAACGCACCCTATGAGTGATCACTTTGTCTCAGTAGTAAGAGAGCAAATGACCATGGGTGGTCATTTGGTACTCAGCATGTTAAATAGCTTTTTTTTGTTTTCTTTTTTTAATGTACTATTTGGTGTTGTTTATCTCAAAGACATATTCAACTTGGGGCTATAATTTTGCCTACTTCCATTATTCATCATTGTCTTTCAAACTAGCATTGTTACATTAAAGGATTCTAGTGTCAAGGGTATGAATGTTCTTTTGTGAGTCAAGTAAATTAAACAGTTAACCAGTTAGTCAAAATTGAATTTGACTTGAATTCAGAAATGCCTGGTATTGAATTGAGAAGTATTAGCATTTATTACTTATCAACTGATCAATCTTCTGTAATGAGAAGCTTGAACAGCTATTAATGATCATCAACTCTGCTGTTGTCAGAACTGTTACCAGAAAGGAAAAGTTCCTAAAAGGATAGGAATTCTTTAATTGGAATTTTAATCTTGTGTTTGAAACTAAGTCTTGAGGAAGTAAATATGTAGCATTGAGCCTTTGTTAGCAATAATACCAATTTGGATAAAACTACTTGGATTAATATTTTTGACAATTGTATTTATTTCAGATTCACTTAATTTTTACAAGATGAAGATTTATATTTTATTCAATATTGGATATACTGTAATTATCTATTTATATCTATAAATGTAGTGAGCATCTTTGATTTTTTTAGGATCAATTCTTGTATTTTCTAGACCTATAAAACTTATTATCTTTTTTACCTTGTAAGATGCACTTTTTCATATCTAAAATTTACCTTAAATGTAGGATGCATCCTATAAGCTAAATATGTCTTATACTATGAATAAAACTTCTGATGCGTTCAATACAGTCATGCATCGTATAAGACAAAATTACAGTATTTGAAATGACATTACCGTAATGAATGAAATTTACATAATATAATAATTCATTTAAAATTTATCGTGAGCTTTGACTGTAACAGTGTTTGTCATTGATTGATGAGAAGTGGATGTTAATTTAATCATGTTTCTTTCAACAGTCATACAAAAGTTGATTACATTAGTTAATTTGTCTTTTCCTTCCTTATCAAACTTTGATTCATTTTATTAGAAAAATAAGTCAAAGTACATAATCCATTTTATGCTGATAAATACAAATTGAAGAATTTGTGCTATACAGTATATACAGGTTAAATGTAGAGGAAAAAAAGGTAAATGTGAATTTAAAAAAATTTTGTCTGTTACTTCAAAAGCAGCCATCTCAAATACTGATTAATTTAATTTTTATTGTTTTTTTATAGAAGTAATAACTTCATTAACAATATGAAACAAATTATTAGAAATAAATTAATGAATGTAAATATTTTGTAGATAAAATTTTAATTTTTTCCTGATATAAAAATTTATGCTAATAACTGTAATATTGAATTTGGGAGGCATATTGAAGAGTTTGCTAGTTGGAAAGGTTTGTTTAAAGAGTTTTTAATTAGAGATTTACTATGTATAAGTTATGAAAATGTAGCGCATAGTATCACATTCATAGATAGCTATTTTTATAATAACAATTGTAGTAATAACTGTGGATGAAATCAATGCAGCACAATATTTTTTCACTGAAGTTTACCTATTTTTGTCTTCTGAGATCAATTTTTTGAAGTTATGTTTAAAAATGCTTACATGAGAGGAGAACTTTCTTTTCACAGTCATTACCTACATGAAAGTTGAATACATGTTTTAAAGGATTATGATCATTAGATATGTGGACTTTAACAAAGAAGAAGTGGTTGTAAAGAAAAGTACAAGATACAGATTGGTAGTATGGATAAATGTAATGGAATTTATTTTTAAAACAAATTGATGATGATAATACTCTATACTAGAATGATTTATTACATAAAATATTTGCAAAAAAATAATAAGTGGAATGATGATAAAAATAAATTCAAAACATTCCAGAACTTTTATTCACCAAACAACACTAAGAAAACCCAATACAATATATTACTAAAGTCAACCACTGCCATATGTGGTTGGCTTTAGTAATACTTTTATTCACTATCTAACTCTGAATAGATAGTGAATAAAAAACTTCTGAGAGAATATACTATATTCTCTCTAAGGAATTCATATAGTATATAGCTTTCTTCGACTTGCTGAGTAAATAGGAGTGGCAAACAATGAATAAATTAAAGTATTCTTCAACAGAATTTGAAGACTAGCAAAATTTATTTTTATCTGGTCAGTTGTATTTAATAACAGGTAATTGTAATAATTAACATTTTAAAATGACCTGATTTAGGATTATACCAAACATAGACATTGACGATAATGAATTCATGACTTAAATAGTATTTTTTGATTTGATTAATTTTAATTTCTCAATGAACAGAACTTTGAGATAGATAGTGTCATCTATTAAAAAATTTAATAATTGGGCTGCAATTTGAAAAAATTGTAGACCTGTAAATTCCCACTGTTGTCTGTCTTTCCATAATCTTGAGAACAGAGTTAGATAGATGAAAGACAAGACCAGATATGAAAATCTTAAGGGCAGGAAGCCCTAATTAACTATATACAAACTTTGATGCAAACCAGAAATTACGTTATTTCAATTCAAAAATTTTCTCCTGAAAGCAGTTAATTAATAGATGACTGGCATGATGACTTTACTGTTAACAGAAAAGTATGATATACAGGGAGAGGCAAGACACTAGTAATTTGAAGTGGAAAAGATATATTTTAAATTAAATAAATTAAAATTATGATTAAAAATTGCAATCCGGCATTGTGACAACATCACAATAAATAATTGCTTGTTAAATTAATAATTTAGAATTAAAATGGTTTATAAAATATCAAAATTATTAGTAATAAATTTGTTTAAATTATTAAATTGTTTTAACAGATGATAATTTTAGTCTGACTAAAGTAAAACATTTTTCTAATCAAGAAATTTATTGACAAAATCAAAATTAATGAAAAAATTATTCAGAATTTTATATTGATAATTTTACTGAGAGAGAGAAGGGGAAAAATTTATAGAAATAACTGCTTTCACACATTTTACATGCATATCACCCAATCTTCTCTCATATGTAATAATAAGTGGATTCAGCTCAAGATTTATTAAAGTATATGAAAGGATATTAATTTTGCTATGTATTTTCTCTTTTATCCATTCTTATATACTGTATATGTATATGTATATATATATATATATCTGATCATGCTGCATAGTATCAAAATTGCCACTTGGTGATATTTTTATTAAAGTGGTGATAAAAACTAGTCTGCTTATTTCACCATTCAGTATTAAATTGAATCACAAAGCATACTTCAGGAAAAACAGCAGAATATCAAGCTCCTGTGCAGTGGGAGTCTGGTGCACCACATAACTAACAATGTCATAATGTCATGCAGCAAGTCCAGACAGGAAAGCAGGAAGTGACATTGAGAACCAAAGAGCAATTTTCATACAATGCTGCCCAGCGTTTCCAGATTTATGATTTTTTTGGAATGGTATTTTTTTATTTTTTTTTTATTCTGATCTTTTATCATTAGACTAAAGCATAAAGAGTTTGACATGACAGAACATATGAAATACTATTTAAGGTCTGTGATCAAATGTGTTATTTTGTATTATAATTTAAAAATTATTTTAAAATGATTTCTATTTCTAAGTGACAGCTTAACATGTAACTTTTGCTTTCTAGACTCCAAACCGATAAGGCTACCAGCACCTGCAATAATTAGTAAGTAAAACTGGTGGCGATAAATAACTTGAAGTGACAAAAAAATTAAAAACTGATGAAATGGTTGGCAATTTTTTAAAAATTTTCCAGAGTGACTCCTGTGTATATGTATATAATGCTTAACTTAAAATGATCATGGCAATTTTTTTATCACAAAAAGAAAAAAAAACATAGAAATAGCACTACTGACTGGAATCAATTTTATAAAATTTTTCTAATGAATATTCTGTATTGGTGTATGGGGTGAAGTCCCCCAGTAAGAATGTGAATATAAAAAAATAATTGTTAAATGTCGATAAAAATATCAAACATTTTTATTTCTTTAATATTTTAAGTCAGTCTTGTTTTGTTTGCTACTGATGATGATGATGTGGCTATAAAATACTCTAAATACATGGTGGGAAAGAAAATCATAGAATATAGAATGTACCCAACATTAATTCACTCACGTCAGGAACACATTAGACCAAGGGGGAAACAGATTGATGTGTGTTACATGCATGTTACAGTTTTGTTATGCAAAACTGTAACATGCAACTCCAAAACATGTGTTAATGCAACTCCAAAACTGTAAATGGGAAGGGGTCATGTGACACATCATTTATGGTCAGAATTTCACAAGGAATTTATTGCTGAAAGATGTTATTGACTACCTGGAACGGTTAAGAGTTATGCACGTTACACGATGTGCTCAATATACTTTTTTTGGGTATATTCTATATTCTGTAGCAGGGGTGTTAAGTGACTTTTTTTTTCACCCTATTCTGATTTTTTTTGAAGTTGTATTTAAAGTGACTCTGAGGGACTTTTTTAATATATATAAAATTTAGTAGTTGATATGATTGATTAATATATATAAAGTAAATGTTATGACCATAAAAAAAAGCAGAATTACTAGTTGGCAAATGAGCTGAATAGTAAAATTGTTATATATCTGAATATTCAATGTTAATGGTTGATGCTGAATAGAAAATGAATATATATTACTTTTCCTAACTTATAATCGTCAAATTTGTCCATAAAAGTTATTTTAAATTAACTTTTATTTAATATTATAAAATCATAAAATAAAACAGTTTTATATTTCAGATAAATATATCAAGAAAAACAAATCTAGATTGGCTGATTTGAAAATGTTTTGGTGGTTTGGATGGAAAAGAACACAGGATTTAATATAATTTAAGCCTTAATTTTTAGGTAAAATACTGTTGTTTTGATACTTTATCTTAAATATTTATATATTAATGATTAAAAGTAGTGAATTTGTGTTTTTGTAATTGTTTCTTCATATTTACTTTTAAAAAAAATGTCAAAATTTTGAAAGTGAAATTATTTTCAAAATTTAATATAGTACACGAGTGCTCTGGGATCAAAACCTGCCATATACATTTTTTGACAGATTGAGTTAAGTACAATGGCAAATACTTCAAATCAATATTTACCAGAGGCCACTACTGTAGATTCACCTGTTTTAACCCTATACCATGTTAAATTACAAAAGAGACCGTCTGCATTAAAAAAAACCTTAGTTTGAGAAACAAAAGATACCATATGTATGGTGCAATTCTTGTTACATGGTTGTTTATTTTCTGTTCAGATTTGACATTGGCAACATGTGCAAGAGTCTTGCTCATTTCTTTCTCTGTTGTGTACATTGTCCATGATATCCAAAACAAAGGCCTACAAAAAAATTTGAAGTAATTTCACACTTTACTTAACAAATTTAATGATGTTAAACTTATGCTGGTCTTTGATTTTGAGAAAAATTTGATGTTGCGAAAATTCAAAGGTCAGTCAGCATACTATAGTAGACAGTTATATATGTACAATTTTATGGTAGTATGCATAGTACCTATCAAGCAGTTGGGCAAAAGAAAAGAAATGATTTTGCTACATTTAGACCAAGATTGGCCCACCAGTGGCCAAGCGGTCTTCATACCCTGAACACTGGGGGTTCATGCCTTGATCGGACGGACTGGCCATGTGGAGTTTTCCAGGTTTTCTCCATGTCTGTAACGCCTAAATAGGGGCCAGTTTCCTTAAAAAGACCTCCCAGAAGGCATCCCCAAGGCAGATTGCCCAAGTGTTGCATTGCCCGTTGCCATAACCAAACCTTAGACCAAGATCAAAAGGTCAAGAAGTTCTAGCAAAATTGCTTCAGTGATCCATGATGCATTGATGTCTGCAGACCTTACAGGCATGACAAAAATAGTTTCCAATAGCTGTGGAGGCAAATCAAAATCATCATCATGATTGGTGAATGAAACATTTGCAGTAGTGACTTAGGTAACATTGTACTTTTCATGGATTGGGCATTCATTTTTTTCCTTTGGAATGAGTGTTTAATGTTATTGAAAAACGGGTAAAGTAGCACCAGGAAATTCTGGAGAGGTCAAAGTATATATCAGTACAAAATTTAGAATAGTATGTTGACTGGTCCATAAGTGTAATTTGTACGATTGAAGACATTGTGATTAAAGTGGCAAAGGCCCCTTTGAATTTGCACTTCCATATTTCTGTCAGCAAAAGAATGGTTTTGACGAAGGATCAGTGAAAGAATATTCTTGTCTCTTGATAGCCAGCATAAAACATTGACACCTTGCAGAAAATATTTTTCATTGTGGAAGGATGCTGCAATAGATTCAACCAAAGAAACACACTGTCGAGTTGCCTTCAATGCTAAGACGGCATCTGATGTAATGAAGTTATTTGAGAAGCATTACAGAGACAAGTGGGATGAAGATTGTCATTTGAAATACTATGTTGTTTGCAAAGGAAATACTACTGAAGCAGAAATTGCAGACAAATATTGTTAAGATGACACATAACAAAACAAAACACAAGCCAGATATAACCATTCATATTAATTATTTTATAATCTAAAACAATATTGTTGTCAGACTAACATTATACAGTTCGATCCATCATTGTACTGCATTATCATATAGAAAACTAAATGCCAGAACATATTTATAACTTAAATTAGCATTGACTTAGTAGCAAAATATACCATATGCAACCTAGTGCCTTAGTTTTTGTGCACTGTCAGATATGCATATTTCAGAATTTTGCATGATTCTGTATATGTAGCTTTTCAACACACCTGTAACAAGTCCAGTTAAGAAATATTAAATGGAACAGAGCTAGATGTTTTTACCATTTTTCCCAAAAAAGCAAAAATGCAATTTTACATGTTATGTTTTGATCCCAGACATCTCACTTATTCTCAGATTTTTCTGAAAAACATAATAATAGATAAATAGTTTTTAATTAAAATTAAAATTTATGATTTAACAGAAAAAGTATTTTACAATTGAAATAACATTGAAATTACAGAATTTTCAAATGGGAGATTGCAGTGATTTAGATAGACAAATTGAACAACTACAAAGATGTGAGGTGATTGACGAAAGTGAAGTCAAAGCTCTCTGTGCTAAAGCTAGAGAGATATTAATTGAAGAAAGCAATGTTCAACAAGTAGACTCACCAATAACTGTAAATTTTAGTTTTAATTATTATAATTAATTATAATATTTAAGTAAAATTTTTATTGATAATTCAATTCAATTCTTTATTGTATGAACTGTAGTTTGTTACAAGGGGGTATTACATAAAAACTGAAGTTAGTATAATTTAACATATTATGTAAATGTGAAATTAGTAAAATTTTAACAAATTAATTAAATAGCTTAGTACAGGATAACACAAAATAAAATACACAAAAATAATCATTCTTTGAAAAACAGGATAAACTAATTATATCTTTCCAGGATTTAAATCTTGTCAAATACTTTTTTCTATTTGTTTCAAATTTGATACAGTGAAAGAACACATGTTCCCAAGTTTCATAAGTTTGCAAACCACATTTACTACAAATTCTGTCAGAATCTATTATTAGTTTACTGTTATACATCAAAATATAATTTTGATCACATCTCTAGAATTACACATTTTATATGATAATTTATGTCCATAAACAAATAATCTTCACACATATAAGTTGTTTTAAAAATATGATATAATTGAAAATGCTTGTTGAAATGACCATAAAACTTTATGATTAATGGTATGAAAAGCAGATCTAAAATCTACAAAATCAGCATAAAGTTTTCTTCTCTTTTTTTTACAATTTCAATTGCACCAATGCATTTAATACACATATTTGACCCTGGCAAGATCAACCAGGTCGAAAACCTGCTTGCTCCTGACACAAAATATCATATTCAATAATCCAATCTTCTAATCTTTTATTTAATAAGGATGCAAATAGTTTACCGATTGCAGGAACCAAAGATATAGGCTGATAATTTTTTGGGTCATACACATCCCCTTTTTTATATATTGGAATGATCAAAGATTCAATCTATTTTTCCAGGAAAGTATAATTTCTTTTAATAGAGTTAAAAACTTCCAATATTGTAAGAAGAAAATTTTCTGAAAAACACTTCAAATATTCTTTTCTAATAAAATCAATTCCAAGTGAGGTTCCAGATTTAAAACAGTTAATAGTTCCTTTTGGCTTCTCAAGTGTAAATTAGTAAAACTTTCCGATTCTATTGGAAAGACTTTATACACATCTGTTGTCAATTGTTAATCATTAATAAGTAAACAATGTTCTTTAGAGAATTTAGTAGCATAATAATTGAACCATTTTTCCAAAGGAATTCTTGTATTACCCAATGAACTTTTACATTTAAAACTATTAATTATTTGCCAAAATATTTTAGTTATTGGATGTCACCNTTTTATTTATAAGATTTTGGTTAAATCTTGGAATTTTTTAGTAAATCTGAGGTAGCTATTGATTATTTCTAAAAAAAAAAAAAAACTATTATAAAGCTGAAGTGTGTGTTTTTGATAATAGGAATATACAAAAGCAGCATCACAACTTTCGATAAATCAGCAGTTTCAATTTAAAAAGCATCAGCTAACATTTTCAACCATGTTCAATGGCCATCATCAGGTTGTTTGACTGGATTGAATATATTTTAAAAATGTAATAGGAGAAAAAGGAACATTGAATGCAAAGTGAACTTAAACTTAAAGTAGAATATATACAGCTTGTTCCATTTTAAATTTGTGGCATTTAATATTTTGGTTAGGATAGTATTTGTGCTTATTATTGTTAAGGACCAACTAGAAGAACTTAGCTATATAAGTAAACTCTGTGAAAGTCTGGGTTTCTATCCAATCCCAGAGTGTATAAATTGCTATGGAACCACAAGGATTAACTGGACACCCAGCATATACAGTCTCACCAGTCATGGACCTTAGGTACAACTAAGAGTGTGAATACATAAATGCAATGGTTTGACCTTTGAAAGAGACTTAACACCAATATATGATGGACAAAGGTCTACCTTCCATTGCATTAGCTATCTTTCCATTGGAAAATTCAATGTAAGATGGGAAGAGGTGAAAATAATTGGACTATTAAGATCTAAAGGAAGCCTTAAACACATGGAGTTAGCAGAAACCTATAAATCTTTTCAAAAAAGTAAGTCTGCTAATTATAAGGAGCAGAACACTGTTTCCCAGTCATTATTTGAAATCTCCTTGTGAATGCAATAGACATGTGTATTTAATTGTTTGTCACTGTTTTATATTAATATTTATGTCAAATTTATACTATTTGTTTTTTGTTACATGATATAATCAATCATTATGAATGGCTTCATTTAAATTTTTCACTTTTCTTCCAATATTCCTTCTTTCCAGTATGTTTTTAAAATGTGCTTGATCCAGTCAAACAGCTTTATCATTAAACATGCTGAAAACATTAGTTGAAGCTTATTAAATTGAAACTGCTGATTTATCAATAGTTGTTGTGTGGTTTTTGTATTTAGTTCTGAATCTGTATAGCTGTACAAGAATATTATAAATGTAGTATCTAGAGATCTTTTATTAACAGAATTATCAGTTATCAATTTTACTATGTTTTGATTCAGATATATTGAGTTTCTCTTTCATTATATTGAAAAATGTAGACATTACAGCAAACAATTGCTAAAATAGTTTTTCCCCAATAATCATTTGAAAAATTTTTCTTATAAAACTAATTTTTAGTTTCTGCAAATATTTCTAATTCTGAGATCATAACTTCACTGTTGTTTCTAAAATGTGATATTGACTTACAATCCTGTTCATCTGAATTGCATGTACTGTACAGTACATTGTCATCTAACATGCTTATAGGAGAATCTTACTGATTACTAATATTTGATTGTAAATAATAAATATTTGCTTTTTAAAATTTCTACTTTTATTCTTTATACTTGATTTAGGAATTTATTACATGTATTATTTTATATAAAATAAAAAAAAAGAAATTTATTTTGTCAAAATTGAAATATTTATTTAAGAATTATGAAAGTCTTTGTATAGAAATGAAAAATTCTCATTCTTTTAGTTTTATTATTTTAGTATTGTCTTGCATATATTTCCATAATCTCAATTTGGGAAAATATCTTTCAAATGTGGGACACATTATTACTTTTTCATCTTTCTTTCATTACTAATATAATTAATCCTATCCTGTATTATATATATTGAATGTCATTATTTAAAGTACTTATGTGAGAAGTATCTTAATAACAATGGAAGTAAATTTTATTTCAGTTTCAAATGATGTTGCCAAAATTATCAGGTTACTATTGAATTACATAATTAATTAATTTTGTTTGGCTTTAAAATCAGGTTATGAGTTTCGGAAAGAGTTAATAAAATAAGTGGTTCATTGGTTATAACCTTTTTTTTTTTTATTATAGTTAATTATGAATTGTTTATATAATTTTTAATTAAAAAGTTCATTATATTGATGATGCTTTTTCTTATAGGAAATGAATTTTTATTACTTTAAATTAATATTACATGTTAAAGTAATACATATTACTAAGCAAATTTAAATATAAGATACTAAAATGAAATCTTAGTATCTTATATTTAAATTGCTTAATAATATGTAGTTTTCCTTTGATTTTAATTGTACATTTTGCTCCTTCAATATCTGTTTTACTTAATCAAATGAAGTAAAATTAAAACATGTGTTAATTTAAAATTTTTTCTAATTTAGGTTTGTGGTGACATACATGGACAATTTTATGATTTAAAAGAACTTTTTAAAGTAGGAGGGGAAGTTCCGGATACTAATTATTTATTTCTCGGTGATTTTGTAGATAGAGGTTTCTATAGTGTTGAAACATTTTTATTGCTTCTTGCTTTAAAGGTAATTATACTATTTGAAAAAAATTATTTATTCTTTCTAGGTTAAGTTCAATGATTATTAAATGCTATTAAAACTATTTTGAAATATTTTAATTTTTATTACTTAATCTATTGTTCATGAATTATAAAGTGACCTATTAAGAATTAGAGAGATTTATAAAGTTGTTTGTTCATTGAATGAAATTTATATGAAAATGCAAATAATTTGTTATATATATACATCAAAATTTTACAGGTTAGATATCCCGATCGAATAACATTGATACGAGGAAATCATGAAAGTCGTCAGATTACTCAAGTTTATGGATTTTATGATGAATGTATTAGAAAATATGGTTCTGTTACTGTCTGGAGATATTGCACAGAAATTTTTGATTATCTCAGTTTATCAGCAGTTATTGATGGAAAAGTAAGTTGTCTTTTATCACGATTGTTATAAGAATATCCACTACTTCACAAACCAAAGAACCAGCAATAGAAAAGAATACTCACTTTGAGAAGCAAACATTTTTGTCCATTTTTAAAAATAACATCCTCAGGCTAGTTTCCCAAAATTCAAATTGCACATGTTTGAAATGTATAAAGTTTATGTAAAAGGTTGCTACATACAAACATTCCACCAATCAGTGTATCAACTGCTATCTTCCAATCATCGATGACTACATAAAGTTTATAATGTGTTTCAAACACATGGAATTCGAATTTTAGAACACTAGCCTGAGAATGTTGTTTTTAAAAACAGACGAAAATATTTGCTTCTCAAAATGAATAGTTTTCTTCTATTGCTGGTTCTTTGGTTTGTGAAGTAGTGGATCTCAGATTAATATTAATCAGTATTGGGGTATTATTTTTATGTTATAAGAATATACCAATAATGATTTCACCAATAAGTTTATTAGCTAAAAAAATATTATCAGTTGATAATTTTCATCAATATGTC